GGGTGGCGGGCACGGCAGCAGGGCCAGGACGGCAATGGGAGACTTGGGGCTGAGCACAGCCCCCCTGAAGAGGCAGCCGAACCCTGACACCCTGCCGGGACCTCTCTGGCACGAAACATTGCTGAGAAAAATCAGGGTGCTGTGGGAGCAAAGCGGACACTGCCTGTGCTGGGGTGGGTGCACGGGGGGATTGATGACATTTTTGAAGACTCAGCCCCCAGCGCAGACTTGCCGCAGGAGAATTGGCTTCTGCTACATCCCCCCTCCTTGGGGCGGGGCGTTGCAGTGACAGTCTTGCTTTTTTCAAGGACATTTTGCCTTGGCTGCACGTTGGGAACGGGGGCTTTTTCCTGGAGGAACGTGCCCCAGCCGCACACACCAGTGCGGTGCTGCCAGCCATCCTGGCCAGGGTCTCTTCTGCTGTAAATAAAACGGTGTTGACAAGGGTTGATTGTGCCATGTTTTTTTCTTAGCGCTGAAATGTCCCTGCAGTGACAGCCAGCCCCTACCCAAGCCACGTGCCACCACGTGCCACACCAGGGGTTGTGGCATCCCTCTGTGCCCTGCTCTCCTCTCCGTGTGGGCTGAGCCAGCCCAGCGCAGGGGCGATGGCACCCACCCATGGGGTGGGGGGACAGGGACAGGATGGGCTCTGATGGCACTGTGAGGCCAGGGAAGGCAATGAAGTGGGGAAGGTGTCCTGGGGAGGGCTGGGGTGCTCTGGGGGCTTTGTGCAGCTCACAAGATGGAAGGGGAGAGTGCAGGGCAGGAGGGGGAAGGAGAAGTGGTCAGCCTGGAATGGCTGACAGGTCCTGCCCCTCCCTGTGCCACCTGGCCCCTTACAGACGTGCTAGATCTGGGTATGGGGACACTATTTAGCAGCAGCTGCAGAGGCTAAAACCTATGTAAGGATTAAAGCGCAATCAAGTAACAGGCAAGAACGCTTGTTTTCAAGTGAAAATGTAAGTGAAAAGAAGTAAAATGGGGAACAGACCCACCTCTTCCCCCCAGTGATGGTCCAAGGGGCTTTCAGTGGCGCAGGACAACCATGGTGGAAGGCTGAGGAGCTGCT